TGTGTGTGTGTGTGTGTGTGTGTCGTGTGTGTGTACACGTGGATAAACGCCAAACCAATGTACTAGGATCTGGACAATAAAGATGTATCTTATCTTATCTTATCTAATCTTATAATATGTAAGACCCCATGAATGACGTGCACCGTACGGCACCTTAGCCAGTTTCATGTCTCTTTGAACAATATACTTCCTTGGCAATATTGTGCCCTTGATTGCCGAAGATAACAATGCCCAATTGAGCATTGAGGTCAAGTTGAAGTCCAGACATTGACTTTTTCTTTGGATGCTTTGTTCGCAAACATATTCTTTCAATACGAAATGGAGGATGTACGTCACTTGCAAGACAAATAGGTCATATAAGTGCCGAACATTAAAGGGGTTACCAAGGAGTAACATACATAAAAAAAGAAGGAGCAAACTACATCAGCGCACCAGCCAACCACCCACAAAAGAATCAGAAAACCCAGGAGGAGTTGTAGTCCAATAAGCAACTCTTGTAGAATGGCAGAAAAGCTTCGAAGAGCGTTCTTCATCCTGCGGTATCGACGCCGAAAGAAACTAGATCATGGACCTGACTTTACCTATACAAGACGTAATGATGAGAGGCATCCATATAATGCAGAAATTGTATTTCTACTACCCAGTTCAAAGGGTTCAATCATAAAAATTAAGTGTAGTTTTGTTTTACGGCGCTCGAAAATGCATAAGGTCATATGCGCCAAGGGGTGGATGTCAACAGAGAAGTTCAAACGAGGAAAAATGACGATAGTAAGGATAACGAAAGAAAAAGGAGCAGTTACCCCCTGTGTTGTTCCGGCACAGTATGAGCATGACATTGATAAATCAGCCCATTTACAATTATACTGTGCAGAAGAGCATGTTAGTATCCCCCTTTGGGAATGGCCTGAAGACAACTTCAATCAGTAGCACTGACCTGGTTGCGGGGGGGGGGGGGGAATTATGTTTTGTTAGGATACTTTGTTAACTGAAGCTGTTTTATTTTTATGGTGGTGTTTTGGTGTTGTCGAATTGAAGTGAGTCTTTTCCTGCAAATCTTGATTTTTTATTTCTTTCAACTTCAAAGTGTTCGATTAAGTTTAGTTTGTTAATAAGCGTGTTTTGAATCAGGGAGGAGCTTTGGACTAGAGCAATCCATGTCAACAAAAATACGAAACTTGTCCCAGAAGAGACCCTAATCCATTTGAGTTTCTGTTTGCACCCGTTAATGTTCTCGGTCCTCGGTAATTATTTACTTACTAATAATAATAGTACAGTGTGCGAAGAAGGAGAAATATGACCCACAATTAGCATGACGTCATTGCAAAGCATCGTCGCTTTGCAGTTTTCAGAGGAAAGCGGTAAAAGATTTGGTGCGAAACCAGATGGTGCAAGCATATTTGCCACGCAATTGGCAAGTTAAAGAACAATTGGGTCCTACCAATGATAGTACATAACAAGATGGGCCACTTCTCTCTTTGAGCCAATTAAAAAAGTGTCCTCAAAATTTGGTGGCGCCCTCTTCACAAAAGCGCACTCTTTGCGAACAGAGTTACCCTACTTGAGTTTTAAAAAATCAAAGTGAAACTAGCAAGTTTTGGGATAAATTTCGGAAGAACGCTTTTTTAAAATGGTTACGCTGACAAAAAACCTCTTCCGGAGGAAAGGGTGATGGTTTTCTTCGTTTAATTTGACTTTAGAATGAAAGGCGAGAGGTCATTAAAATTAAAAAACAACTAAAACTTCGCACTGAACGTACCCGAACTGCTGATGAACAGCAGTCGATCTGCGCACGCAAGGAGGTGCTATTCCTATTCTTCTTCTGGAAAAACGAAAGAGAGCTTCAAAACAGACTGCAGCGCCATCTGAAGCAAAGAGCATACTTCCCGCGGACACTTTTTTGGCTGAGTGACCCATCTTGTTATTCACTATCTTTGGTCCTACCATGGAATTGACTCTTATCCATTGTCAAGGAGGAAATCTCTCTCAGCCCGGGTTGACCTTGAGAGGTGGGGTTGTAAGCCTGCCTCCTAAAGGAACGAAATCCTGTCTCTGGTGACGTAGAAAAACACATTATCTAATTTTCTCTACCGTTTGTTCTATGTTCTATTTGATAATCATTGAGATAGCAACCATTGAGGTTATGAAGTGTAGCCTAATTAATTCTGCCAAACCCAAGGCGCGTGTGGGTTTGTGGACACGGCCAATTCCGTGGCTGTTTACGAAGCGACCGACAAAGGGATAATAGTAAGGTTTTCATTCTATGTCACTCCTCGATGACAGGCCGCACCAGGCAGTCAACTTTGAAACCTTGTGATACAATTCTACAAATATACATAGCCTCGTCAGCAGCGTGAACGTGTTGATGCTTTATTCATTTCGCCGGATCGAGATTACGGGTGTACGACGTTTTATCAACAGCTATTTTGAGTACCACGTAAAGACCTTACCTGTAGCTTCGATAACATTGCTAAGTTGTTGGGGGGTTTTTAAACTTCAGCCGTTGCTTTGTGCACGCGCTTACACATAAACTTTTACAAAAGCAATTTGAAGCTGAATTCAGAGATTTAAAACGTTCTCTTTTCGACTCTGAGCTCTATTGGCTAGACCACATAAAGTATGGAGAAGGGAAAGGAGGAAATGACCAACGATATGACTGAAGTTAATGAAACAATACAACTCTACAATGACGAGTCTTCCGACGAAAACGTGATAGTGAAGAGGGAGATGCCGGCATTGACGTATCGTGTGGAGGACACGCCTCCTGTGATGGTCACTCTAATGGCAGCGATCCAGGTAAGTCAGAAATGTGAAGTGATTTATATGTTTAACGCCCCTATCAACACTATTAGTCTGTCTAAGAGGTTGGACCTTCAAGTTTAATGTCCATCTCCAAACGGCATAACCCAAAAGGGCCAAATAGAAAGATATTCTTTCCGAGGGACACAGCGTTGCACCGTGCGAAGGTTCGACCTCCCGCAACCACAGTTTCACGATTACAGATCCGGTAGCTTTGCTACTAAACTATCAACGCCACATTGGTTGGTCAAATATTGTAGAAGTTAAAGATTTGGTAGGGGGCTCTCGTGGCCTAGAGGTTAAGGTGTTGGCCTCTCATTCAAAGGTCCCGGGTTCGAATCCGGATAGCGACCAAAAAATTTTCTTCTCTAAAATTGTCTCCTTTCACCTCCTTTCCTGCTCTCTAGCAATGTTCTGTTGTCTGCTTTCATTTCCACTTTCTGCCCCAACCCCCTCATTTCCTTTGCCTCCTCCTCTGGGCTCCTGACTCTTTCTGCAGCCTTTCTACTGCTACTCCTTGGCTCCTCCTTACTGCTGTCTTTCTGCCACACCCCTGATCTTCCGGTAGGAAAGATCTACACCTAGCCTTCTCGGACAAGGACGAAAAATCTCGGAGGGCCCGTGTGCTTGTTGCGCACGTTAAAGATCCCTTGGTGGTCTAAAATCGATAAGAGTAGGCTTCGGTCGCCACCCGGGCAAAATTCAAAATTTCCTACCAACTGAAAATATTAGGTGTGTTCCGCGCGCTCATATGACCTTATGCAGTTGCGAGCGCCGTAAAACACTTTACAAAAACAAAAAAGATTTGGTTTTATACTGACCTTGCGCCCTTTCAATACGAACCGTTTTTAAAGAGTAGGAAACTACTTTCTTCATGACCAGGGCAAACGAGAGCAATGACGGAAAAAATATTCTTCGCTCTCACAACCTAAGTTCAATTACTTCTCAAGGAAATTCAGGCTTGAGCTCTTTCCACCACTGTCTTGCGTAATGCCGCCACAACAAACGGCTTACCGGATCTTAAGTGGAACACAGTTTCATAGTGCCTGTGTTGTTATAATTTTATGTTAGAATGTTAAATGTGGGCGTTTTTCGCTTCTTATCGACACAATTTAAAACATTTAAGAGGTGGGCTTCGACCTTTTCTGTCAGGGCCAACTCGGGATGTGAGGGACAGAACGTCTCAGCAGAATGACTGAGTTACTCGATAAAATTTCCTCTCCATATGGGATTCGAACTCAAGTCTTCGGCTTGCGAAGGCAAAGTGAATAACAGCTTCTCCACACGCCGGTGTTATTATTCTGATTGGCTCAACTTTTTTTCCGGTGATAATACAACACTTTTGTATCACTCTTGAGCACTACAATATTTTTGAAATCAGAAGAATCGTAGCGTATTATATATCTTATTCTGCACCAAACTGAACAATGAATAGTGGCAAAGTCAAAGTCAAAAAGAGAAAAAAAACCGCACTAAAGGCGGGGCACTATAAAGTAGGAAACACTATGGAAAAAATGCTATGAAATAGTGTTTTACGTATTTCAAAAATTGAGTTCTTCTGCTGACTTTTTAAAACCGGCGACGCTCGATCTTGATAAGGATTTAAATTAATTTAAAAATCTACTGTGCGTTGTAAAAGAAATTTAATCTTACCTAAAATATTGAAACGTTTTTGTCTCTTCTCCTTCTCTCTGCCCTTCAATGAAAAAAACGTGACCTTTGGACAGCGTGTTCACTTTAATCTGTCCGCAATTTGCCCCCAAAAAAATCGCTTAGTTTAACCTTCTAATGTCTGTGCGTGCGAGTCTAAAAGTTGGATGACCAGTAGAATTTAAAATCCCATTAATGAAGGCCACTAAAAACTAAGCTTCCGACATGTTTTCTTTGACGTTATTTAAAAAATAACAGATTGGGACTTACAGAATACATCAATATACTTAAAACAAAAGGTTGACATTTTTTCATCAACACCACACTCAGGGTAAGATTAAGGGAGGAAGGGGGGGGGGGGGGGTAAGGGACTCGGGTGCTGAGCCACCCACCAAGAGGCAGTGCCTCTCACCAATATATTATACATGTAGAAGCATCGAGTAGGGCTGGGCAATGAGTCGCTTTAGCAAAATTCGGATAATATTTTAGTGCACATCTTCCTTCAATTAAATGCGTTATAAACCGCTTCAGCAAAAGGGTCAGAACTCAGAACCACTTCGGACAGACGGATTAGAACAACTTCAGCAAATGAGTGCACCCACTTCGGCAAACAGGCCAGGAAAGAAAGTCTAAGAGTCTGAATTTGGATAATGTTTCTTTAAGAATTATCCGGTCATCCGGATAGGATATCCGGATTTTGCCCACCACTAGCATCGAGTTATATAATATACTGCGTGAATCGGTCTTCAGTGACATCATCCGCGACTTTGCGGAACGATAATCGAGAAACGTGTCTGGACAGTAATGGTTATAACTCCATCCATTCTCTCTCTCTCTCTCTCTCTCTCTCTCTCTCTCTCTCTCTCTCTCTCTCTCTCTCTCTCTCTCTCTTTATTTGTAAGTGGCTTAGGGCGCTCGCTACTGCATAAGGTCATACGAACGCACGGGATACATTAAACATTTTTAGTTGGTAGGAAATTTTGAATTTTGCCCGGAGGCGGCCAAAGCCTACTCTTATGTATTTTGAACCACCAAGGGATCTTTAACGTGCGCAACTAGCACACGAGACCTTCGAGATTTTTCGCCCTTATCTGAGAAGGCTAGGTGTTAGATCTTGCCCACCATAAGATCAGGGCTGTGGCTGAAAGACAGCAGTAGGAAGGAGCCAAGGAGTAACAGTATAAAAGCTGCAGAAAGAGTCAGGAAGCCAGGAAAGGAGGTGAAAGGAGGACATTTTAGATAAGAAAATTTTCCTTCAACCTGGCAACACTGAAAGTGAAAGAAAAGTCCCTGGGGCTCTCGTGGTCGAGAGGTTACGGTGCTCACCTCCCATTTAATAGGTTCCAGGTTCGAATCCGGGCAGCGACGGAACAATTTCTTTGCTAAAATTTTCTCCTTTCATCTCCTTTCCTGCCCTCTCAGAGTTCAAACACACAGGGTCGATACAGACCTTACATAAAAAGTGCGTTTGCGTTCAACGTTGTATTGTACAACTTACATGCACACAGCAGCCAGAACGATGCGTCCAGATTTTTTCCGTCCACAGCACAATCAGAATTGCGTCAAGCATGCCATACATTTTCTGGTCTGTGCGGATAGAAAATGGGAGTTGACACGCCGGCATACACACTCCGCTACACACTTCGCACGTGGTGCAAAATGAACGATGAACTTGTGCTGGCAAGAACAGGCTTTATGATAAAAAAGACCAAAGTTACACAAAAGAGATTTCCTCCAGTTTGTGCTTTGTTTCTGAACCCCACTGACACATAACCCCAGCAAGGATTGAAATGTTGGCGTTATTCGAAAATATTCCAAACATTTCTCAACATCAGCAAATTATTTCAATTTGAATTCTCCCAAACCTCCCTGGTCTTTACAAATTGGATTCATCCAGTGACATCGTTTGGACACGAGGGTTGTCTTTTGTACCACCAAAGCAGAAATATCCTGCACTTCCTCGTGAGCGCCATCTTGAAATTGAAAAAATCTGTATGGTTTGTATGGAGCCTGTGTGAACGGTATAACCGCACTTTTCTGTACATAACTTTTCCGACCCGGAAGAAGTATGGTCTGAATGGAGCCTGTGTGCTTGAGCTCTAACAATGTTCTGTCGTCTGCTTTTGTCTCCACTGTTTACCCCCTCCCCCCCCCCCCCCCCCCCCCCCCCCGCTCACTTTTTTTGCCCTTCAGAGATGAAAGTGAACAAGCTGTTGTCTGACATATATGCGATTTGTGTGTGTGTGGTTGGGGGGGGGGGGGTTAAAAAGGCGGCCTCCCTTCGAAGTGGGCTTCTGGTCTCACATAATAATATGCTTAATTCAGCCCTGACCACACTTTACGCATGCCTGTAAAACACAGTCCAACAGACGGGTGAGTACTTTTCAAGCCTCAGGTGAAGATGTCAAGACGGCCTTGAGATGAAAACTAGATCTACGTGGTAACACTGAAATGCAGGGGTATAGCGGTGTGGCTGTTTCGAAATGGGTAATCTGTGGTCATTAATTGCGATTAATTGCAGTTTTGTTTGTTTTGGTATGTGTTTTACGGCGCTAACAACTGCATACAGTCATATGGGCGCGCGAGACACATTAAACAATTTCAGTTTGGAAGGAATTAGTTTTGAATTTTTCTGGGTGGCGCCGAAGCCAACTCTTATCGATTTTGGACTACCAAGGGATCTTTTACTTGCGTAACTTGTACACAGGACCTCCCAGATTTTCCGCCCTTATCAGGGAAGGCTTGGTATTAGACCTTACCCACCCTAAGGTCTGGGGTGTGACTGAAAGACAGCAGTAAGAAGGAGCCAAGGAGTTGCGGTACAAAGGTTGCAGAAAGAGTCAGAAGCCCAGAGGAGGGGACAAGTGGAAGGGGGGGGGGGAGAAATCGCAGACTAAAGCAGACGATAGCACATGGTTAGAGAGCAGGAACGGAGGCGAAAGGACAAACTTTTAGAGAAGAAAATTGTCCGTGGCTGTCAGGTTTCGAATCCGGGACCTATTGAATGAGAGGCAAACACTGTAACCTTAAAAACCACAAGAGACCCCTAATTGTTGTGATCCTGTGTATGAAGCCAAAGGATGTTAATAAAGAGCACAAATGTTAAAAAAACAAACACATTTTTATAACTGGATCAAGACCTTTTTAGAAAACATTTTGGTTTAGTCACTGACCTAAAGGAGAGCCATGCAAATTAATGTGTGAGCTAGATGGGTTTTTAAAAGATGACACAGATGAAATTGAACACGCTATAGCAAGTTCATCCAACACTGTTGGCACAACTGTGGGGGTATCTGCGAACATGATTCTCCGGTGTAAATTAGGAGTTGTGACGCTCCGACACGTGTTTGTACATCTGCCATTGCATGACGATATATAAATTGTGCTAATTAACCATGATGCAAAGGTGAAGCACGCAAGGGTGAAATCAAGGGCGACGGGCGAGTTGAATTCATTACGCTCTTGACTTAAGTGCAAGCGACGTTGATCTTACTAACATTTATTAATTGGGGGATGGGGAGGAGACCGGAGAAATGGGACGTGACGGAAGGTTTTCCATACTCCCCAGCTCCTCCCTCTAACCCCTATGTATTATTATTAACTCATTACTATCAGTGAAGAAATGGAATAGAGAACAGGTTTATGAGGAATGTCAAACAAATCCCCCGGAAGAAATTTGTACGGTCAATCAGTGTGACGTGTGCTTTTAAGCAAGACACAAATCGTTGGTAATAAGCAGAGAGCATTACGCTGACAACCTGTATAAGAGGGGGTATCTTTTAAAATAGCTGCTTTTATTATTACACATGCGACTGTCATCAAGTCAATGTAAAACAGAATTTCCCTCTAGGATCAATATACATGTGGTGTCTTGATATGATGCCATGCACGTGAGCTAATATTTGTGTCACGGAAACAAAGAAAAAGCGCACTGTCAATAATAAATCTTCCCAAACAGGATTGATAAAATAACCCTATCTTTCCTCATTCGATCTTATAATACTATTTATGTCCATAAATTGCATTGCTGGGGGGGGGGGTGTGTGTGTTAGTCTGGTGGTTAGGCCACCGGACTCGTAATCGTGAGGTTGCGGGTTCGGGGATTCAAAGCTCAGGCCTGACATTGTGTCCTTGGAAAAGGCACTTTACACAAACTTTTCTTGTTTCACCCAGGTATGAATGGGTGCCAGTCAGAGACAGAAAAAGATCTTGTCAGTATGTTAGTGTTTTAGTGCCCTTTAAATGGCTGATTGCGCTGTATGCTTCACAGGAAGTTTAGATTGTTTCAGAATGCAATCAGGCCTTCTGGAATTTTAAAGCTCATAAAACTTGCTGTTGAGCAGAAATTTGATCTATTAAAAAGCTAATTATCATTAGTAGTAGTAGTAGTAGTAGTAGTAGTAGTAGTAGTAGTAGTAGTAGTAGTAAGCAAGTAACATTAACGTAGCTAACCTTTTAAACTATCTATCCCTACCAGCACATCCTGATCTGCTTCACCAGTGCCCTCTCTACAGCCTCTATGGTCGCGGACGCTGCCTGTGTTCCCTACGATGGCGCCCTCAGGTCTCGGATTTTCTGCACCACACTCTTCATGACGGGCTTGTGTACAGTGCTGCAGACGGCGCTTGGCGTCAGGTGATCAGACATACGTCGGTGTCGCAACCAATCCACTTATTTGTTTTAGTTGAGGTTTTACGGCGGAAGCAACTGCATAAGGTCGTATGAGCGCCAGAAGATTAGAGGTGTTACAAGAGAGTAACAAACATAAAAAAGAAGGATGGGAGATAAGGACGATAGATGTTTGATACGAAGGAAGGAGCAAACCACACCAGAGCACCTGCCAACCACCCACCAATCCACTTAAGTCTGTTTGAGTACTTATTACACTAGAGACAAAAAACCCTAGTTTTTTGTGTTGTTCCTGTCGGGAATCACGTATAGCAAGAAAATTGTAAACCTGGACCATAACATTAAACTGCATTTTGGTAATACTGAAACTTAAAGTGGTGCACAGTTTCTGATAAAGTTTTTCGAGGGTATAAAAATCGAAAATTCTCAAAATTTGGACTTAAGTGGATTTCTTGTGACAGCCACGCATTGAAGATGGGTCATGGGTAAGCGTGTACACTTATCCTGTTTTCCAAAACTTGTGTAAAGCAGCACCATATCCGATTTTTAACTTACCCTAAGGTATAAATATGTTAAAATAACATCCTTCTGAATTCTTCGCACGAGAAAGTTGGATATGGTTAGTTCTACCCTCAATATCAATGTAATAACGTTAACCCTCTTACAAACGAGGCAGGGATGGGCCCAGAACAACCTACTTGGGGAACCTAAACAAATGGGTAACAGAGAAGGATCAGGGAAACGTAGCTGTTTTAAAGCATCCGATCAAAGGAATGAATTGAAGACCAAGGTCGCCGATGTCTGTCGCAGATCTGGCACTGGATGATGAACTCTCATACCACCATTTCGTCGCTGTCGTAGGTTAAAAAAATTACTTGTGTGTTTCAAGACTTCATACAACATCGAACGTTTTATAACGTTCAGGAGTTTATAGTCCTTCGTAAACTAATGTTTAATGACCTGGCATCATACATTTTGGCTGCAGCTATCCAACGTTCTCACCCCATATTTAAAGAAAAATGTTATCTGAGTTAGAAAGAACCATGAAATGTGAGCGTGGGTTTCGTTATGGAAATAGAGAAACATACCGTAGCGTTAAATAATATTTTATGACGAATCTAAGGTAGGAAGTTTTTCCTTACTTCACTGAAGTATTTTACTCGTGGTGTCCAGTAAAAGAACGTTGCAGCAATGATGTAAATAAAATACATTACCTGTTTCTTTTAGACAAGTGCAGAATCGTGATACGTAGTTTCCCTTTCAAATAAGTCACAGCGTGAACTTTGCCCCGTCTTTGACCTTCGTCTGGTAAAAACAGAAAGAATCAAAACGGAACATATCAAAGTTATGCTCCCGACCATGATGCAGTCTGAAGAAGTAAAAAAAAACGTTCCACCAATATAACAGATGCATGAAAAATCTTCCCATGATAAATTGGGGCTGGAGGGGTCGGAGTGGAACTATTCTCAATACTAATTCTGTTTTCTCCTGTGAAGTCTTCAAGGGGGGGGGGGGGCTACACCTGAAGGCTATCTCGCTTATTGCTGCACCGAATGTTACCACATTTTACACTTACAACAAGCATAGTAAGGAGTTTTAGAATCCCCATTCAAATTTGAGACAAAAGCTTTGTTTCCATGGATACGGCGACCATATTGGATTTTGTTGACATGTCTTACGTAATGAATACCTCACTTATCGATCATGGAAATTGATTGGGGGTTTTTTGCATGCGTGTTAACACACATTAGATCTAAAAATTTGTCTGTTGTTTTTTTTCCTAAACGAATTAGAACATTTTTTATGAATTTTGTCCTGAGGTAGCATTCAAGTTAGCAAAAAATCCGTGAAAATCCACACTCCAGACACCACCAACAAAAATCTATTCTATATATCAAAAATTCAACTGACAAATTTTCAATATTACATCTTTTCTTCTTTCTGTGAAAATTTCATGAAGATTGGGCCAAAAAATGGAGGAGTTATTTTAAAAAGTATAGAGAAAAGTCGCGTTTTGAGAAAACGGCTGATAAAGAAAAATAAAATATTGACTTTATGAGGATATGGAGGTGACAAACTTTGACCGGTATGGGAAAACATTCGCTCTTTTGGGGTTCTTATGCGATGAAATAGTTGTAGGAGTGGCTGAGGACGCTAAAAATGCTTCAACTCAAATTCCATAATTTTGAGCCGAATCTTGACTTTGAGGGTTTACCCCCCCCCG